GCCTTGAGCTGAAGAGCTGAGGGACAGTGCCCAGGCCCAGAGTTCAAGCCCCACGGCCGACCAAAAAAAAAACAAAACAAAACAAAGGAAACACCTTGTTCTACATCTAACTCAGTAATCCATGCTACCTGGGAAAAAGGACACAAAATGCAATGTGAGCCGGGTGCCAGTGACTCATGCCAATATAATCCTAGCTACTCAGGAGGCTGAGATCTGAGGAGCGCTATTCAAAGCCAGCCTGGGCAGGAAAGTGTTTGAGATTCTTAGCTCCAGTTAACCTCCAGAAAACCAGAAGCGGTGTTGGGGCTCTAAGTGGTAGAACGGTAGCCTTGAGTGAAAAAGCTCAGGGACAGCGCCCAGGCACAGAGTTCAAGTCCCACAACCGAGCCAAAAAAAAAAAGAAAATACAACGTGATGGTGAGTGATTGCACAGAGAGGCCCTGGCACTGGGCAAGTGGCTTTTCATTCCCATGACTCCACAGGCCTGAAGGGGCTCAGGAAGCCCCAGTGATGAGGTCACATTTGAACTCAGGACACGCTCCTCACATCCACCAGCAGCCCCTTCTGAAACTGCTCGCCCCTGGCAGTGGCCATTCACGGAAATGCCAGGATGCAGAGCTCAGCCCAGGAAAGGCCTTGGGCCCCAGAGCCCATCGCTTCCTCCCTCCCTCCACCACACACCTGCAGCTGCCCCTTCTGACCAGGCAGTGCCCACAGGGCCCATGCTGGACAGGACTGGGAACACGCATGGAGACTGTGACACAGATGCCACCCCAGGGAGATTTCTATGCACAGTGAGATTTCTATCCCCTTACACGTGGGAGGGGCTGACATATGCCCACTCTATGTCCGCTCATTCTCAAGGGGCTTCGGCAGAAGGTTCTGGGTTCAGACAAGACCCAGGTGTGATCTTCAGATTCATACCTTCTGTGTGGCATTGAGCCTCAGTATCCCAGGGGAAATGGGACTCGTGGCATTTCCTGACACTGTGGCTGCCATGTAGGTGGAAGTGACAGGTGCACAGCAGTGCCCAGTGCAGATCAATAGACCAACCTTCATGGGAAAAAATGTGTCAGCCATCCCTGCTGTTCCCTCCTGCAAGGCCCTGCAGGTGCTTCCTGTCCTGGGAGGCTGGCAGTGATGGCTTCTTGGTCTGTGAAGGAGCTCCCTCATCCCCACCCCACGCAGAGCCCATCCTGACCCGGCAGCGGGTCCCCCACAGCATGCCTCTGTGAAGCCACGCTGCTTCCCATCCTGAGAAGGGAATGCCCACTGCACGGCAAAGCTCCCCACCCCCACCGGCCCAGCCCCTCCTGATCCCTTCCTGGGAGGCCAAGATGGCTCAAGACCTGTCCTTGCCCTGCTAATCTAGCAAAGGAGACAAAGCTGCGCCAGACACCATGACATGCAGCCCGGGCCTCACAGGGAAGATAAGGGAGAACAGAAGACACTTCAGCTTCCTAGGTAGAGCTGAAGAGCTCCGGGACTGCACCCAGGCCCAAAGTTCAAGCCCCAAAATCGACGATAGATAGAGAGAGAGAGAGAGAGTGTGTGTGTGTGTGTGTGTGTGTATGTGTGTAGCCGGGTGCTGGTGGCTCACACCTGTAATCCTAGCTACTCAGGAGGCTGAGATCTGAGCATCATGGTTCAAAGCCAGCCTGGGCAGGAAACTCTGTGAGACTCTTATCTCCAATAAACCACTCAGAAAACTAGAAGTGGCACTGTGGCTCAAGTGGTAGAGCGCTCACCTTGAGCTAAAGAGCTGAGGGACAGCGCCCAGGCCCAGAGCTCAAGCCCCACAACCAACCAAAAAACAAACAAACAAAAAAAATACACACACACACACACACACATGCTTTTTTTTTTTTTGTCGGTCGTCGGGCCTGAAATCTGGGCCTGGGCGCTGTCCCTCAGCTCTTCAGCTCAAGGCGAGCGCTCTACCACTTGTTTTCTGGTGGTTTATTGGAGATAGGAGTCTCACGGTCTCTCCTGCCTGGGCTGGCTTTGAACCGCGATCCTCAGATCTCAGCCTCCTGAATAGCTAGGATTACAGGCGTGAGCCACCAGCGCCCGGCTCACACATGCTTTTTTCAATCTCTCACCCCAGGGTCTAGTATATAACCACTGTTGACTCATTCTGCCAAGTGTAAAGACCCTAGGCCAGAGCCAGCAAATAGATCTCATTTCACATTGCGGCTGGGCTGGTAGAAGTGGGCTGGAGTTGTTCTTTATGTTTTTTGCTTGTTTGTTTTTTCTTTTTTTGGTGCCAGTATTAGGACTTGAACACAGGGCCTGGGTTGCTACCCTGAAGCTTTTTTTTTTGGTCGGTTGTGGGATTAAACTCTGGGCTTGGGTGCTATCTCTGAGTTCTTCAGCTCAAGGCTAGTGCTCTATCACTTTGAGCCACAGTGCCACTTCCGGTTTTCTGGTGGTTCACTGGAGATAAGAGTCTCATGGAGGAGGCTGGGAAGGTGGCTCAGTGGTAGAGTGCTTGCCTTGCAC